GGAGGAATCCCGAAACGAAGGTCTAGACGTTCTGGTCCTCTAGAGAGGACTAGAGTGAAGGACATAGTGCTGGACACTGGGTTTACTAGGACTATGGTGCGACGTGACTTGGTACCAGAAGACAAACTACTAGGAAAAGCAGTGGTAGTGAGGTGTGCTCATGGTGTGATTCCGTGCTCTACCCCCTAGCTAAAATGGAGATGAAGCTTGGAGGTGACAGGATGGTGGTGACAGCGGCAGTGGCTGATTGTCTTCCTGTGTCAGTACTATTAGGAGTGGATGTTCTTGACTTGGGGAAACTGTTACATGGTGAGCATGGTGTGATGCATTCACATGGGGTAGAAGAGGCTCTAGTTGTAACAACAAGAAGTCGAGCAAGGCAGGAGAAGAGAGATGAGTTGGATAGAGATGAGAAAGATGCTATGTCTGGTGGGGGTGCCAAAACCACCAGAGCTGACTTCCCCACCCGTAAGTGGTGGGAATGGGGAAGCTAGTGCTGAGGAGGATGCAGTTTTGGAAAGTATGGTGGCACAGCAGTATAATCCGTTGACGGACACAATTCATCTCCCACGCAACGGCTCCGGTAACGCCCGTCAACGGCCCTGGAGACGCCAGTTAACGGGCTAGCTAATTAAATTAAAATGACAGACTCCACCCATTAACCAAGTTTTCACATGGCAAAAATGGAGGATGAGATTGAAGAGACAAACTCCAACACTTCTAGCTCTAATAGGAAAGGGATTGTGTCATCTTTAATAAATTTATCAGAGTTTTTATGTGAAAAGCACTAGAGCTCGAAGGGGTGGAAGGTTTGATAAATCGTGGCAAGGAATTACGAAAGAAAATGAAGCAGAATGAAGTGAAACAGAAGCACACTGTAGGAGTGACAAAGAACAATGTTGAGGTAATACTAGCTATTTTTTTCTGTATAAAGAATATAAGCCACACAGGTTAGTCGTTGTTTGATGGAACAAGGAATGAAAGGCTTTGTGAAATCTTCAGAAAAGTACAGTGTTGATATGAAGAAAACAGATTCATATGAATTAGTGATTTTGAAAGTATGTAACGCTATTGGTGAAGAGGTGTCTACTACATCAAATATGAGGCTTTTTAATGGAAGGGGGTCTATTATTCCTAATCAAAAATTTAAAGATGATGACTGGAGTCTTGGGGCGTATTTACTAAAGAGACATGCATCACCAATTAAGATTATTCTGGGAGTTGGAGTTGTTGACATTGAACCAAGACCTAAAACAACCAAAGGTATGATACCAATGACTGTATGTTTGTTTTACTATATGCACAAGGTTTGGAAGAATGAAAATGGTCTAGAAAATGCAATGAATAAGCATGGTATATTTCAACCAGAAGGTTTTTTTATGAAGTTGCATCTATTAGCTTAATACAAAGTAATGGTGAGATGCATGTAAAGTTTATATTGGATTTAATGATTTTTTACTTTTATAAGGCTCGAAAAAAGCAATTTTACGGCCTACTGCTTCTGGTACTCTAAAGCCTTGCAACTTTAATGGTTTGATAGCTAGATGTTATTAATGTCTTTAATGATATTGTTTAGGTACGTCCATTATTTGTTTTACTAGTTTTAAAGAACCTGTTATAACATCCACAGAGCCAATTCCTCTTGTTGCATTAGCCAGATGTCATCCAGATTGTACCTATAAGTGGAATTGTGTCGGTTATTGTGACATGGAGTTACCATCTACTCCAGTAATTTGTGTCTAAACCCATGCTGTACAAATGCTGTGTCTATATTGATGGGAAAAAAGCAGGAAGTGCTCATTTTGATGTAACCTATCAACCAAGCATTGGTAATTTTAGGCATCTTCCAATTAGTATTATTTTGTTATTTTTTCCAATGTAGACATGCAGTATGACCATGACAATGATTCTCTTCCCCCTCCTCTTCCTCCTCCTATACAGTCTGCCTCATCTTCTGCCCCTAATATGGAAATACTGTCTATTCCTGCTCCAAAAGGTACATATCTTTAAAATTAATATAATCATGTAAGTTTTTATAGTTGATTCTATTGAATCCACTATGGAGGAGATAGTTACTGCAACAAACCATTTGGATAATTCAAATGAGCTTGGAAAGGGTGGCTATGGCAATGTCTATTTAGCCAATAATTTGCGCTCTATTGGAACAAAGGCAGCAGTAAAAATTCTCACAAAAGTTAACTTATTATGATTATGACATGCAGCACAATGGTTTGTTAATTTCGAATAGGAAGGGTAAGATGTACTTGGTAAAGGAGGTTTAGCCTCAATGCAAATTACAACTGAGCTAAAAGCACTTATGAAGTTTGGAACAAATAAAATAATTATATTAATTTTTTTATAATGAATTTTAGATTTTGGCATCCCAATATTTTAGACATAATGGGTTACTGTTTCTCTCCCCAAATTCAAGCTATTGTTTACTCATATATCGAATATGGCTCTCTATATTCCTGGATTCATTGAGTCAGTTCATTTCAGAAATTTTCGATTATTCTTGTCTTAATAGTCCCAGTCTTCTAAATTAGGTTAGCTGCTTAGGATTTCAATTTTCAAAGATGTTTTTAGAGGTATTGCATACCTTCATGCTGGATGCCTTATTCATCAAGATATTAAATCGTGAGTACTGTACTAGCAATTGAGTATATTTATAATAACTGTTTGTAGTAGTAATATTTTACTAAACAAGGATTTCAGGGCTATTGTTGGAGATTTTGGTTTTTCCTTAGAGCTACCGCAACAAGAATTAGGACGTTCACAGATTACTGCTCCATTAATGGCAAGGACGGAAAGATATTTTCCCCCAGAGATAATTTCTGGAAAAATATCAACATTGTCTGACGTCTATAGCTGTGGTGTGGTTAGTAGTGTCCATTATTGTATTATTGTCATTATAATGAACAAAATAAAAGCTGACACTGTAGGTGTACACAGGCTTGAAACCATACTGTAATAAAAGAGAAGATCATGAACTAGTGAGATATTCTCATTTACTTTTCCTAGCAATTATGAGTTTAACATTAGTTATGCCACACAGAAGATGAAAGATGTAACATAGCTAAATTTAAAGAAATTGCTAAAACAAGAGTACCTGAATCGATAAGTGATCAGGATTGTGAGAGACTACGATTCATCATTAATAGCTGTCTCTCAAGGTACACAAAGCGTCCTGCTAATAAAGTAAGCTAACATAAATGTGGTAATTAGTATTTATCAATGTATATAGGTATTAAAAATGTTGGAATCCAGTCCATTTACAATTAGTAATGTTAACTAAGTACCACTTAACAAACTCTTCAACTGACACATTTAATCATCAAACATTGTTGATCAAATACTTGTTAATAGATACACAGTTTTCAGCAGTTATGTCACTTTTATTAATCCCAATATCTCTTAGTAATTGGTTAGCTCATATCTCAAATATATGTGAATAAAACCTTGGAATAGCTTTACTTTCCTTCTCCATAGCATAAATCCAGATTGATATGTTATGAACTGAATGCAGGAAGTCACTCACTCCTACATACAATATTTATAATCTAAAATTGCATTGGTACAAAAAATTATTTCTAACCATAGCTATTTGGCATCTCATACATATTGTTGGGAATGCCAGATGAAAGTAAGGTTTTGAGTTGGAACGTATGGGATAAGTATTCCATTCTATTCTAAATTCCTCTAATTCCTTTTAAATCACATAACCCATGCAGTATGCCACACAATATCTACGAATTGTAAATCTCAGTACAATTCATGAATGAATTACTTGTGCTTTGAGATCCATCGAAGTAATTGGATTCTTTAAGGTCCTAAAGATTGAGAAGTCAACATTTTTTGATATGCTATAAGAAAAGTATTATACCTTGAACAGATTGATCAACCAGGTTGTCTTAAATCTCCAAAATTGAGACCACCAACCTTCAATTCTCTAGTATTATGAAAAGAAAACAATAGTAAATAAGATACGACCCTCACAACATTTCTTTTAGATGGTCCATATATGTACGATGACTCACGCAGACCAGACATATGGAAAGCGATGTGAATAGATGCTAATGTGCAATTCTCTGTACCATAATCTGATCGTATAAACTTAGGCACACCTACATATGTAATATAAGTTTATGATAATCTATACTGAACATCTTTACCACCAAATTCCTCAACAGCCTTTAAATAAAATCTTGATATTACTTTCGGATCATGGTTTGTAGGAGTCAGTTTAAACCATAACAGCTTTCGTGAATACCTGCCATTAAATTGAAGAACTCTAAAAACCATAAAAAGTAACCAACTAACCCATCAATACAACCATGTATGTCTAATCCATAATGAGCTACCTAATCATAGTTATCTAAGTGCCATGCAAAATTGGGACCCTAAAAACAAAGTGACAAAACAACATCGTTGCCATCAACTTATTTTATCACCTTTGAATAGTACTGCCTTCTTATCAAACTCTTAGGTTTACGTAGAGCCACACCTTCAGGGCCTAACTCCTGCAAAACTTTCATTACAGTTGATGTAAAACAAACCATCAAATATATAAATATATATGTATAATTATAGTACCTTTTCACATGAATATTGTATTTTCGGCTAATGTGCCTCCACATGGCTCTGTAACCTAATAACTGAGATAAAGAGTGTATCTCTCTACCAATGACAGCTTTCACTGTATCTATATCAGTATAAAATTTGCGTCTTGCTAAACCAAGATTGTTTATTTGCAATTTTAACCAAATTAAACTATACAAGAAATATTTCAATTGTACACAGGCACACATACGGCTTAAAAGGACAGACACCTCCTTTTAATACCATAAACTTCATCAAGCTGCTTCTGTATCAGTTTGTAGCTTCTGCCAGAGTCAAAATAGGTTCTTATTAACTCTAAAAAAATATAGAAGAATAACTTCACAACAATAACCACCTAACCATTAATCTTCTTAGACCCACCAGTAGAAACATTGGTCGACGCCATTTTCAAGGTTAATAATTGAGAAAGACCCATTTCACTCGTTAACGGGTGTCTCTGGAGCCGCTGACGGGCGTTACCGGAGCTGTTGCATGGGAGATGAACCGTGTCTGTCAACAGATTATACTTCTGGGCCACCGTAGGAAAGCGAATTTCCATTTTCAGAGGACCTCTTAAGCAAACCAGTAAGGACTCCGAATACTAGGAGTCAGAAGAGAGCACAGCGAAACAGTCATGGACTAGAGAGAGCAAAGGATCAGAAGCCGAAGAAGATGGAGGTTCCTGTCAGTAGAGAGGTGCTACTTCAGTCACTGTCTACAGATGTAATGCTGGAAAAAATACGAGCTGTCTGTGAAGGGAGGTCTGACGGTGTGGAGGATGGTTACTTTAAGAAAGATGGTCTGATTTTTAGATGCTGGATACCTCCCCGCCAAGGTGGTGAGACCACCATTGATCAGCTGGTGCT